CGGTCTATGGGGTACCGCCTCGGAAATTCTGATGCGGACGTAGGGTGACAAAGCAGATGGAGACTGTGATCATGGCCAAAATCGTACATGAAAGCACATGAAAGCACCGGGGACTAGTAGGTCACTCACTGTCTGCTGAGAGTACCGGAACCTAGTGTCAGGAGTCATCCAAGGGCTTGAGCATGATGTACCCTACTGCACCATGACAATGCACCCGGCTATAGCCATTTCGACATGGTGAGCTGTTGCTCCAAAGGGTTTTGAGAGCATGGAACTGTGCGTGTGCATCCGGAAACCTAACACTCCAACCGTCGTAAATATCAATACACGTATGCAAGAAATTTGGGCCTTTTGATTGCAATCTGTTTCAAAGATATCCACATTGAACACTATAGCTATCGGTGAGATTAAAACAATTTGCTCACAGAAATGTGTCTGGTCGATTGCGTCAAAGAAGGGGTGAAAACACCGAACAACAGACATTTTGAACGAGAGAGAGAGAGGCAGAGCGCGCGAGAGTAACGGATGGTAATCATTTCCCAACGACACATGTCATCTGTTTCCCACGATGAGGATTGATTCTGAATTACGTTGACAGCTAGTTGTCTTTTCGCACCAGAACGGTTTGCGTGCATATTATGATTACATACTTGACAAGCGCGAGCACGTCTAAGGACATCTATAGCCAGGGAAATTTATTTGGAAATAAAATTAATAAGTTAACTTGTGGGTTAACTGAATTTGTTTTCTATATGTCTGACAGTCTTCTGCGCTCATACACACACACACACACACACACACACAAACTGGTAATTATTAGTTCAGCAGGCATTCAGTAGCTCATCAACCTTTCACGTCCCATGCCACACCTCCACATCGTCCACGGATGATGATCATCATCATCTGTCTGATTGCGCAGATCAAACCTCGGACAACATCTTCGATCATGAATGGGGATACATCCATTCATCCATCTGCCTCCTCCCTCCGATCCCTACTTATGTCACACTCATCCCGTTTCGTAAAGAAATACAGATAGATAGGTATTTCATATGACATTCGGGGTCAGAAATTGGTTAGTTCGACTGGACGTGTGAGTCTGGTAAGCAGGTGAGGAGAACGGTGGAGTTGCGCGAGGGTGTGGTTGGAGGGAGCAGTCTGGCATCTTGTTGCTGAATTGTTTCCTATATTTGATTTCAGTCATTTCTGTCTAATCACGATTGAGTTGTCTTTCTTGTTGACATTTCTTTTTTTATATTTTCCACAAAAGTTGAGAGAAGCTCAACTGATATACTTTTGTTTCTCTGGAATTACGTGACCTAACCATATCATTCGCGAATCAGTTCGAATGGAGACGATTGTGGGAACGAATGAAAATGCTTGTGATCTTGTGGTCAATTGAAGTGTGTCAAAGTTTTTAAGATGGGATATAATTTGTGTGGATTCCTTTCCCCTTTCTCCCCACCCCCCCCCACCCCACCCTATCTCCCTCTCCCCATTGGTCCAACTCGGGGAAGTTCGATTGTACTTCGCAATTGCAAAAGAATTTTTGCACGAACAATAATAATATGTTTCGATTTAGGATAGATTTTGTGGTATACAAAACTAGGGGTAAAATGAACTGAAAGATTGAGATTTACTGGGCAACGTTTTTCGATCCTTTTTGCGTATCAATCTCGGCGGCAGAAGCAGTAGCCGTAGCAACCGCAGCAGTGTGAACCCATGGATTCAACTGGAACTGGAATCTGGTACCTCCTAAGTAGACCTAATTGAGCCTAATTGAGTAGACCTAATTGAGCGCATGCCAAACAAACAGACAGTTTCATACAATGTGGTTAAACTGTACGAGGGAACAGTTAGCGTAAGCATCTCTACTAAATGATGTGGCTCTGATTCAAAGGTTGTAATAACCAAACGAAAAACTGGGAAGCCCCCGACGGAAGGCAGATCCGAGCACAATTTCTTTAACCCTCTACGCCACATCATAGTCTGCCAACCTCGCTGTTTTTTCTAACCTGGACTAATGTCTGCTAATAGTGCATGGTGTGGCAGACATTGTTCAGGCATTCGCAGGACGTGCCCTAGCCACCTAAGACAATGCTGTGAAATTATTTTGCTCAATGGAATACTGTCTAATCCTAATACACTTCGTCTGACTTCATCGTTATTCACGCCATGCTCCGACCATACGTGAGCGGTTTCAAACAGACAGCGGTTGTCGAATACGGATAGTCGTTAGACATGATCTGCTCGGAAAGGCCAGGATTTCGCAGCCACAAAACACTGCGGCGCAATACACATTCTCATTCACTAAACAAACAAAACCTTGTTTCGAGTACATCACGGTCCAGAGGTTCGAACCCGGACTTACCTCAATCCGCGAGCCATCTCGAACAGATCGACCAGGAAAGCTTGTTCCTGCTTGTCATAGTTCGGTTTCGGTCCCAAACTGACAATGAGAGCCAACGTCTCGGTGGAATTCGAATACGTGTCATTGATCGGTTCGAATGTGTGACAGTTGAAATAGATGTGATGACTGAATTGTCGGACCCGTATCCCTTCCAAATTCATACAATTGTCTTCCACTTGCATGTGCTGTCCGTGACGCCACATACAATTGAGAAAAATGGACGAATCATGTCCCAGCCGATAGGCATCCTCGGGCACAATATTCTGATAGTATATACTTATACTATCGTAAATATACATCGCAGTGGCCTCGTCCAACATATTCTGTTCGAGAAAGTACTGTGTCAGATTACGCATTTTCCGATTGAAATCGGTCGGTGATAGGACCATCTGATGACGCCACAAATCGTACGCACGACTGGAGAACGGATGATGATGACAGACAGTCAGGGCGGGAAACGGGGATTGGGCATCCAATGCCATATGCACATTCACAGCTACCTGATACTGTAGATAGTCCTGAACCAGATAGTATGTGGTCAAACACAATCCGACAGTCATTCCGACCAGGAAACAGAACCACAAACCGCGCAGAAATCGTGGCCCACGACTGAGCCGAGGGATACCACGAATAGTGAATGTGTCTGAGANTGAGACGATGCGTAGGACAACAGCCGGGGTTAGAGCCATCGTGGACTTGGTTAGATCAATTGCATTGAGGCGAGGTCGTTGTCCAGATCCGCACCCAGACTGAGAGGGGGTTCACACGTACGCTATGCTAGAGACGCTCGACGGCTGAGGTTCTCTTTGACGCCCCTTGATCATGCATGTTCTAATCGTCACGAATGTCCTCGAGAGAAATGAAATGTTCTACAAGAGACAAATAGCCAGAACAGATTAGAAGTTCCGTGAAAGTATATTCGTGGTTTTTGACNTGTATTCGGAATCGTATGTACCAATTGGAGAGAAAATATACTCAATAAATGAAAAATGCTCGTTGCCACATGGAAAACAAAGTCCGGTAGGTGAAACAAGCTGTTTTTCGATAAATTCATCAACGGGACATTGCAACTAAGTACATTTATTTGTGTTCGTCAATCTGTTTTTTGTTCGCATTAAACCAAGTATAGAATGTATACTAGAATTGTTTACCTCATATTCAACTCGATTAGTTCGTTGGTGAGTCCCCCGGTTGGTGGAATGGATTTCTTCATCCAAACGAACTATTTTTGATTGCACACGCGAGGGATAGCTAGCACCTGGGTTGTGCATGGAATAATAACCGAAGGCGTTTCGGCAGAGATGATGGCGTGTGGTAAATGTCGCGGAAAGCCTGATCAACACTGATAATGTGCCATGTCTCCAGTATGTGTTGACAGATGGCACGTTTCGCTGTCCTAGTTCGCCGTGTCTCAACCAACGAGGGGTGGTGTTCTCGTATCCTCTTCGATAACTGATTATTTAGCTACTTTTTTCAGCTTTTTTTAGTGACTTGTTTATGCTACTTTTCTAACAGATAACAAATTTCTTGAAATGAATAATGTTAGAAGTATTTATCGGAAATGTAAAAGGCTTGGTTTGTTTATATGCAGGGGGTGGATGGGGGGGCGGAGGATTTGAGTGTACATGTTTGCACAAATAATTTTGGGGCCTAAAAACGACAGTTTGTTTCATTCACAGTGTCACAAATCCACAAGACGAGGCCAAACGAGTATAGTAATTTATCACGATTACCGATCAGGATATGAGTAAAAATGGCATGCACACAACCAAACTTCTCCTTTGGAACGAGTCTTCAGAATTCCCACACGCACACACACGGTAGTCAATGAACGGTCCAATAGTAAATGCACGTTCCTCGTAGTTCCCATACTGAACAGAGCAATTCACTCGAACAGATCTTGTTCATTTTTATCGGTTTGAAGAAACCACCAATCGCTTTCTTTCGTATACTACTGAAAAATGTGAGTAGTACCCCACAAAGACAGAAGTCCAAATGAAAATGTAAATATATTTGTTTTGTAGATAAAATTGATTTCTGCCTATCCCAAAAGTTTTCACGAGCATGAAGATGTTCCACCACTAAACGAGTCATTGACTGATTTACTAAATTACACGTTGGGTACGAAATGAGTTGTTTCAATGACATGATTGGTAATGTCGAAAAATGCATACACTACAAAATCCATTGGCTAATATGCCTGAATTGATGTCAATTTCTGGGGCATCAAGCACACGACGAGCAGATATTCACAAACTCCCCCCCCCCTTGTATGCCCCGGAAGAAATTTTGCAAATTTGCAAGCATTTAATCTCCCCTGGTCCGTTTCATCCACTCCAACACGTGTGTGCAAACACTTGAACTTTTTACACTATGTTATCCATTTCACTCAAGCACACATTCGCACGTATGATCGGAGCCGGTGATAAATCATTAGGAGTGGAATCTCTCATTCCTGGTTTATTCTTATTGCAAGTCATATTCAACATTATGTAATGGTATGATTATGAATGACTGAAAACGAGCTTGTTCGCCACACTGTTGTTATCTCTGTGTTCTGTGGGACTAATGAAACCGTACGAACTGTTCAATATCCATTCAATGAATCAACTAATCGAACGTTCAAACAATTGTCATCACGGTAGTTCGCCTTCATTTGCTTGTGTTTTTCTTTTTGTCTTTCTATTTTTTACTTCCTTTTTATTGAATATATAAAGATACAACAATTTTCAGGAAGGAGGAAGCAGTCAATCAAATGTGGCTGCCATTTAACATACAATTAAATGGGAACAATCAGACGGTGGTGGTGGGATTCGAACACACATCCCCGGGGTGATTATTTGGTGACGTTACCATCCGACTAGATGTGCAGACGCAGCGGCGGGAAGTACCTCGCGAGACAATGTTGACTGCCACCCGAAAAACGAGTGAATCGACAATTACAGCCCGAAAGACAATTCGCAGCTAACGGGAATAATACCCACCGAATGCCACAACGTCGGAGCTGTCGATCAACGCATCTCGCTCCGCGATCGGGTCAAACCAGTCGGAATGGCACGTGGAACAAGAGGCAACGTACGTGCCAAACCAAAATCAACAAGGAATGACCCACAGAAAGAGGCATGAATCATCCCACCACACGGTTGAGAATTGACTGTACATAATCGAACCCATACACTGTTTGCTTTTGAATTGGATCAATAGACGTTTTTCTCAGCCAGCTCGCCTTCTCGCTACAATATGCTCGACGGGAACCATTTTCCATGAAATTAAAAAACAAATGTAAACGAATCTGGTTCCATTTGTTACACAGTGAGAATAATCATATTATTATTGGATTTCAGAATTACGGGGTCAAATGTTTGCTCCCGGTGGAGAAGTATCAGCCATTTTTTCTTTGTTAATGATTGTGGGCATACGCTCATTCACCACATTCAATGAACATGAGGGGGAAGAAATCGAAACGAAAAGTAAATCAACGGTATTCAGCCACTGCTACTAGTTTCCATTAAAACAGTATTTTTGTAATCTCCCTTGGTATGAGACTTGGTAATAGAATAACTGATGACAGATGAAACTGATCAGTTTGCTATCAAAGTGTCCTATCATGATGATCAGTGAACAGACTTCTAACTATCTGATTGGAAAACTTCTCAAGAGGTCCCCAAAAGCCTCAGTATGATTCGGGGTGGGTGTCTAGGGTTGTGGCTGATCAATCCTTCTGTGAACTCCGTGAAATGCTCCCACAAGACCAGGCTTCTCAAAAGGCTTTAGCTGAGGAAGCCCTACTACCTGCTTTCTCGTGATGGAGGCCTTTTCCCACCAAAATGAGAGGATGAAAAGCCGACATCCGGGGCTATAACCGGGTTGTTAGATCACTGATAGTTAGTTCACTTATGGAGTTGGCCAAGAACCTTGATTTCAAACCGACCAAGGGGAGGCGTAAAAACCACACACACGAACCTTTTCGGTTGTGGCAGTGGTCACCGGCTAAATTGTGCATCAAAGTGTTGGA